CCGAACCTTTATCAAGTCAACAATGAAACACCACTTTTGTTAGATTAGAAGCAGCAGGTCATGACTATTTTTATGGAAGTTAACGAATGCTGTGTCGAGAAGCTGGTTAGCTCTGTCTAAATGGAAGTATTTCAAGGACCTCAAGGTGACTAGAATGTGCTAATTTTGTTTTGCATTTGATGTCGCAAAAGGTAGCAACTCTTGACCGAAATCGGGATTACCTAACCGACACCTTCGTTTGCATTTCAAATTTAGTCTAAAGCAGCGCTTTCTGCCGACTTTGTTGGATCAAACATTATTCGAAATGCAGCAATATGTCTGACCACTGCCAGGGTTCGAAGAAACTTTTATTTTGGATAGTGGATTTGTTAAATTGACTGTAATGTCGAAACAAGCTTGAACCGAATTCACAAAATTTAAGTTAATAACAACGATTTTGGAGTGATTTCGTCTAAAACAGTTATGCTTGCCTCTCTTCTTAGGTTGATGTGCTCTCGGAACTCTCGACTGGTGCTATAATAGGTTGAATGGAGGTTGATGAGATATTTATTTGAAAACGGCACTAAACTTTTATTACTAAAACGGGTTTGACGTTGCAAACGATTAACACACTTGTTGCAGTCAGTCCGGGACCTGTGCGTCTCCCGATCCTGCGTTAGCTTCTGGAGCATGCTAAACGCCTCATATCTTTTGTCACTTTTTTGGCCTACTTGGGCTTCATGTAAAGTAAATCTCGCTACAAACAAAGGTTTTCAGATGCGAAGTTAACTGTAATGATGACGAACGAATGATGACTTAATAAATTGGGGGCAAATCGGATCATGAGGGTCACATCATTTTTCCAGTAGTAAACATAATTCTGATGAATGCGTTTCATTCCTTAAGAAGAAAATGGTTGGATTGCGTGAAGAGTTGTGCTTAAGAACTGAATTAGAAGGAGTGGTTTTGCATATCCTCATCATTATAAATTTTTCCACCCAGTGTCAGTTTACTCTGCTTTTGTCAACCAACACTGCATCGATTTTTGCGCTGGCTCTGTAGGTAAGTCCTGCGGACGGTAAGGTGATCTCCTGTGGGAAGGTCGAGGAAGGACATTTGGAGCAGGTCAAGGGTCTGGCTTACACCCTGCGAGCACTTCTGGGTCCCCATGGGTGGCTGGAGCGGCGCCATGATCTCAGTGTACGACGTGTCACCACCCTGCCTTCGCGGCTGGATACTCTGTGTCGTGAAGGCGCAGCAGTCGATGTGGGCGGATCCACGAAGACACCGTCATCTCAACAGGGAAGTTCTGATGAGGCTCTCAAAAGCCTTTACCATTGCGCCATCTACCTTGCGCCGGGCGACTACCACTGCTTTCATTCCCCCGCCGACTGGAACATTGATATGAGACGGCATTTTCCTGGTATGTGTGCGTGCTTTTTACTCTGGCTTTAAACTGGCACAAGCAGTTCACTCTAGTGACGCGACATTTCGAGAATCTTATGTCAACAAAAGTGCGAGAAGGCGAGGTATTTAGAGGGATCTACCGCGGTTAAGTTATTTTAGAAGGCACTGGGATTTGGAAAATTGCAAACGGAAGTGTCAATATTGCCGAAGCCCAAATACTGCTTGTATAAACTGTCAGTGGCCTGTGAACCGAGTCACAGCTTTGATGAACGACTTAACGGTGCCAGGAAGCCAGCTTTGGCATAGTCGTACATCCTTTTTATTTGTATCAAATGCTCTGCTGCTCTTCAGTCGGAGCTGTGGGAGCAAATGGCCCAAGGGGTTAAGCCTCTCTTTCTTAGGAGCATTTAGAATTTAAAAGCCGATGTTGAGCAAATGGAATTTATAGAACTAGGAGTCATTCGCTGCTTAAAATAAATGTACCTTTTTTCCTTCAAGCAAACCCTCGAAACCTAGTTGATGGGCAACGCATATTGAATTATTTACGCATGACTTTTGTTACATTTTGAACCGTAGGAAAGCAAACGGGACGCCGACGGAAGAGTGAGTTTGTGTCCCACATTGCAGGATTGGGTATTCAAATAGGCTGACGACCCGATCCACATTGCATTCGTTAGTACTTTTCTTTACAATTTGTTCCTCCTAATAAAAATGAGCTAAAGGTTTCAAAATTCTCCTGTTTCGATAATAATAGGAAAGGTTTGAAAAGTGGATAAGGTTTAAGGTCTTTTTCCTTTGATCATTTGTCAGTCAACAATAAGTGCTAATTGTCATCCTTAAGGCATGAATCTTTTGTCATCGGTGCCAAAGGCGCTATTTCCCCTCCACGGCCATTGTTGGCGACTTGATCTGAATAAGTGACTAAGGTAGTGCTTTGGAACCTAAAATATGTTGCATTACTTGACCTTATTAACTGAATCAACAAGTGCTTGTAGCATGTTCGTGGTTTCCACACAGCACTTTCTACTCCC